TAAATGTGAATGCCACATTATAATGCAAATGCAATACACAAAGAATCTTATCCCCGGGAGATTTGGATTGGGTAGAACATTGAGTTAGCCGAATAGGTCTATGCCAAAAATAGCGTCGGTTAGATCTTTTTTGGGCGTCGCAGGAAAATCAAGCTGCACCCGAAAATGATTATGTACTTGGACAAAGTTGTATGTTTTTTTTCCTCCAAGGAAACTTTCATTCCGTATTCGGAGATTTTTTATTTTACTGCCCTAAACAAGTTAGTTTATTTAATGGAATGACAGTATTGTAACAGAAAATATACTTTCCATGTCCGGTTGATAAAATGGTGAACACATCCTTTCGACTCAACGAAGCGAACAAAGCTTTCTTTTGTTGCTCAGTGAGATTCAGGAAAGCGCTCATTAAGTACCGAGGTCAAAATTTCTTCGAATATTCTTTCAGGAACAACATCCATGGCGTGCCTCTACGTGCCTTGGTCCCGTGCAAATGTTATTGCGAGTGCAGCATACAAACAATTTTCTTCCCTAGTAGAGAGAGGCAAAATGAGGTGTGAAAATCCTCAGCGTCCCCTCGGTAGTTACAATTAAACGAGCCAATCAAATTGGTTTGCGCGTTTGAAAAACTATCAACCAATCAACGCCCGAGGGTCAGATCCTGACCCTGTCGTCAGCATGGAAGTGAGATTCGAGGCCAAGGTAACCAGAGGTTTTTCTCTCTGTCCTCGTCGCTTACGCGACTCGTTGTCGCTGCTTCGCGGCTTGCTGTTGATCTCTTTCGCAAAGAAAAATCAAGAAAAACCTCTGGGACCAGGGTAGAAAATGAGACATTCCATTACTGGTTTTATTTTCCGTTTGGTTGAGAAAGTGGCGCGAAATTTATTGGCCAATTACAAAGCGTACCAATACAACATCAGTTATGTTTAGTGCTTATCTGAAATGCACTGTTTTTCTATGTGGTTTGCTTTTCAGTAATAGCATTGGCTATGGGGCAGGAGTTACATCAGCTGTCTTTCCTGGGTATAGTAGGGTTAATGGACCCTCCCAGGCCAGGGGTGCGTGAAGCTGTACACACACTGTTAAACAGTGGAGTACAGGTCAAAATGCTCACAGGAGATGCACGCGAGACTGCTGTTACCATTGGTGAGTGATTTTGCATTATGGATGAATCAATTTTTGTCAACTTTACTTATTGGCTGTTTTAATAACTTACAGGGACTTCAATTTTGAAATAACAACGGAAGTCCCTTATTCTCGTTAAGGAGCAGCTGCACCTTGTTCATACACGATATCAATGATAGAAATGATGATATTTTAGCAAACGTGTCTCAACCGTTTTCAAGAAGTAGTAGGTTCGTGATGCTAGACTATCCCCATATCCATTGGAGGTTTTTTTTTTCTGATTTCCAAGTTTTCAGTTTGAACAGAATTCACTTTCACTTCCACCTTTTTTTGTTGTTGTTTCTTGACAACCGGTTATACACGCCAAGCTTTTGTCAAGGTATTCACCTCCGCAAGGATACTCTTCAAAGACCTAGCTGTTAGGCTCGATTATCATCCGCTGTTCCGGAATCCGCTGAAGAGGGACGGAAATCGAGCCTATTTAGCAGTTTGATGCTGAAAAGCTATCTAAAACCCTTCTCTTTCTTTTGTTTTTGTTGCAGCGGAAATCCTCGGTCTTGTTGTTAATGGGCGACAAGCCTTGTCTGGAGAGGAGCTAGAGGCGATGGATAGTTTTCAGTTAGGAGACGTTGTACATGAGGTAACAAACTTTTTCCTTCATCTTACCAGTTCATAGTTATGCAAAAGTAATTTTCTTTACTTAGAGCGTTCGCAGATTTTGGCTACTTAAAACGTACCGTTGGTTACAGAAGAAGTATTTTCTGGCCGTTCCTGGTCTACTTCGTCTAGCGTAGGAGCCACGTTCTGGCCAAAATGTGTCTTATTTTGTGAGAAACGTGCAGCACAACGGGTGCATGTAGAAAACATTGGAGTGGAGTTGATGCCAGATTGAAAGGTTTCCTGTTACAAGCTGTTAGGGGTTCACTTGTCCGATAACTTAACATGGAACGAGCACGTCACTCATATTGTAAAGAAAGGGAATAAGCGCTTATATGCAATACGCGCCCTTAAGAAGTGCAGACTAACTGATAGGCAGCTTATTCTTGTCTATTGTAGTATCATCAGGTCTGTTTTAGAGTATGCGAGTCGCGCTTGGGCTGGCCTCACGCAATACTTAAGTGATCAAATTGAATCAATACAAAAGAGGGCGCTAAAAATTATTTTTCCTTCTCTGTGCTATGAGGACGTGCTTAAGAAATCAGGCTTAATTTTGCTGCGCCAGAGGAGGGAGGATGCGTGCATAACATTTCTCAAGCGAAGTTACTCTTCTTCCGACCTGCTACGAAGCTTAGTGCCGCGAGTTGCGCACACAAGACCGTATGCCCTTAGAACAGGAGAATCTGTTTCTGTGCCTGCCTCCTCAAGAACTAACAGATTTGGAAATTTTTACACCATCAAATACCAGAATCACGTTTAAAATAGCGAAATGTGATATGTCTTAACATTAACAGTTATATTTACGTGTCATAATTCCGAGGTATTTGTATGTAATTAATGCCCCGCCTTGTAATTCAGTTTATGCTGCAAAAAGCTTGAATAGACGATCATCATCATCATCATCATTATTATTATTATTATTATTATTATTATTATTATTATTATTATAAATACAAAAAGATGCTACGAATAGACTTGTTTCTCGAGCGCCGAGGCTGAGAAAACGCCCCGCGCATGAATCAAGCCTTGAGGGTGCAATTAGATTAAGCAGTTCTTTAGGACCTTGTGAATATAGCCTTTGTTACTGCACTTTCAAACTCGAAAGCGAGAATGTAAGTTATTTTCGATCTCAAATGCTAATGATTTAATAATCTCAACAGACATCAGTATTCTATCGAGTCAGCCCAAAGCACAAAGTAGCTATTGTTAAGGTAGGTGCTTTTTTAAAATCATTTATGGCGTTCACCATTTTCACATAGGCCATAATGCACCTTGTTTACAACCCCCACCGAAAGTTTGCATAACCATTAACCATTGTCTTCGATTTCTCTTGGAACGACTGTAATATGGTTATGCAAAAGTTTGGGGGTGGGGTGGGGGGAGAGTAAACAAGATGCATCATGTGAAAATGGTGAATTCGCCACTTTAAAAACGAGCAGGAGACTGAGCCGAGTTAAATTTCGCAAAGACTTCTGGGCTGTTACCAGGGACAGGGAAAAAAATAGGCCAATAGCTGACCGGCGCGTCCCCTGTAAGTTTTATTTCGGCTCCTATTTCCTTCTCCTTTCTTAAGTTGCGAATGTACTTTTTAGATCCCACCATGCACTGTAGACCATTTTGGAGTTCACAAACGGTGAGTGCGTTCACCCATTGGGAGCATTGTCGTGGGAGGGAAAAACACAGCAGTTGTCTGGCATTTCACTCTTCATTCTTAGACGTTCAACCCTGTTCTCACGCGAACAGCACAGTCCAGGTGGGCGGGCACTCAAGGGAAATTTGGGTTAAGGTTTGCCGCCGTGTGGCCTTCAAACCCTGACCCTGTTTAAGAAAAAAATCTTTCATTTCACTACCCCATTTAAGTAAAGAGACTTTATTGTATCATATACCTAATTTCATTTCGTTTCTCGCACAAAATTAAGTATTTTTTAAAACTCATGTCAGAGAATTATATATTTTTTTCAAAATGACGGATTTAAACGCGAAAGTAGACCGTTAATCGTTTTTCGCCAACTTTCACACTCTTTGAAATGCTTCCGGTCCAAAAAGACACGCCGTTCAAGACGTTAAATACAGTGAAGTTTTGTACCCTGTTGAAGACTTGAGCAAGACCCTGAAAACCATACCCTGTTCACCAGCACCTACCCGTTAAGGCCAAATGAAGGAGTGCTCCCCCGCCCCACCCTCCGGAAGCGCAATCCAGTGGAAAAAAGAACTGGTACCAAAAGTGCTTCCATAACGAACAGCGAGTTCTGCGAGTTTAGAGTGCAGTGGAACCTCGATATAACCAAGGGCCAAGGGACTGGCAAAATATGTTCGCTATAATGCGGTTTCGTTATACCAAGGTTCTTTTCCATACAATTTGCTATTACTGGGTAAGGAAAATCGTTCGTTATATCGCGGTTTCACTGTAGTAAAGAGCTATCAATGCTCACTCTGTTTCCCTATCGACGTTACCTTTATAGGAGCTATCAACCAAGAAGGTTTTAAAACACTGTTATCTGCACTAAGCATTTCTCATTTGTTTTGCAGGCTTTACAGCAGCGTGATCACGTGGTGGCTATGACTGGTGACGGCGTAAATGATGCTGTTGCCCTTCGCCGAGCCAATATAGGCGTGGCCATGGGTCGAGCGGGGACTGATGTGAGTAAGGAACACACGCAATTTCGTTCGGTTTCAATTAAGCACGTGAGTGAAGTTTAAATCTATTAACAGTCCGAGGCAGGGGAATGATGTGAATTGCGTTCATGAGAATCCGACGCATGATTAGGCGCTTGTATTTTGCTTTTCCTTGATCACGTCATAGACAAGAGAAGAAAGGGGTTATAAGAGATTTTTCTCTTGTTGGAACATGGTTTTCACTCTCTAATCAAGCTATGAAATAAGCAACTCCGAGTATTGAAAGGTTATAACGAAAATAACTAATAGATTTCTTAAAAATTGAACCGTTATGCTAGGTGTTCTCTCGAAAAGTCTATTTCGACACTGAACACTTCCAATGAAGTTTTACAAAAAATGTATGGCTCATTAGCGTTTTTGCTATTCAGCATTTCTGCAAATGTTGTTGACTCAAATTTTTCTTTAATATTAGCATTTGTTGCAAAATAAACATACTTCACTTGCTTAAAATGGTGAAAATTTAATAAGCGCCCAGCCTCGAATAAGCGCCCACTCTCGAGGTCCAAAAATGTAATAAGCGCCCAGGGCGGTTAATCGAATAAATACAGTACTACTACTGTTTGATGGGGGTGTCTAGTTAACTCAGGCCTGGAAAACTCAGACCTCGGACCCCAAAACTCATCTCCCCGCCCCCTCACCCCTCGTGCTGCGCGACCGTCAGAAGTAGAAAGTCGAAAGTAGAGAGCTTATAAGCACTAGACGTTTTTGAGGTTAAGAACGCCGACCGGAAGTCACTCGCGCTAGTGTGAATATACTGCGCATGTGTTTACGTCCGAGAGGTCAGGTCGCCGACGCCAGAACGCCACTTTCGAAGTTCAAGATAGTACGCGAGATTCCAGTACTCGAAAGTTCGCATTTAAGGCCCCGTTTTAACTTATGAAAATCAACACAGGCACTAATAAGAACCAAGCACAGAGTAGAAAGTTCAACATTGCGCACCTAACAAGGAACGTATCCACTCTAGTTTTTAGAGGGACTGTACGGCCCGGGGGGGGGGGCACTTGGGTATTTTTTGGGTGGGTGTGTGCCGCCCGGGGCTCCAAATTGGCACCCCGTTCTAAAAAAAATTTCCCCTAAAATTGATACCCTGTTCTAGAATTCGCCCTAAAACTGATACCCCGTTCTAGAAATGGGCAAATTTTTTATACTCCGTTCTAGGGTGCAAGGAGTACAACAGTTTGCTAGTTAACGCATTGAACCGTATTTTTAAAAGCAATCTGTCCTTGAATAATTTGAAATGGCTGCTTACGAAACTCGAGCTTTCGTGCGTTCGAAATATTATGCCCCGTTATAGAAAACGCCTCTGAAATGGATACCCCGTTCTAAATCAGCTTAAAAATCACGACCCCGTTGGGCTGCACATACCCGTATAGGTAATGTATGGGAGTACCCCGGCCGTACGGATACTCTGTGCGCACTTAGTACAAGAGTCTTCGAACTCTTCCAGAAAAGGAAGTGCTTAAATTTTCAAGAAATGCTTTCCAAAAAAACACACCTCTAGCTTGAAGCAGAAGAGGATCGAGATACACACTCCGTAATTGGTTACGTTCAGTAGCGAATAGGAAAACAAGAATTTCGATTCGCCACCGGGGTATTTATGTTCAAGTTCAAAGCTCAATAGATTACTCTCACCCTTACCCTGACCATTACCCTTGGTGTTACCCTTACCCTTGTTTTAGCAACGCCGCAATAGACAGAACGGCTGTACCGTTCTCGTAACGACAAAGTACAACTAAAGTTGCTCTTGTAAAAGAAACTAAGCACAAAGCCAACCCGGCAACTGATGAGGTTCTTGTGGAGAACCGAAACCATGGTCTTGCCTGATCACAAAGCGGCAATAACAAAACAGTTTAAAGACTGTTAAGCTTTATTCAAAAGCTATTACCAAGGGAGGAACCCGTAGGAACTACACGCTTCAGTCAAAAGACTCACACTATCTTTACAAAAACACTAAGCTGGAGTTTACTGAGTCACAATTCAATTCTCCATAGTAAGTTGATGTAGCTTCAGTAGCTGCACTTCATTCTTATAATTTTGGATCTGTAAATCACTATCCGTGATAATTTAACATTCTGCAAAGAAAACTAACGAGCTGGGCCCAGCGTGATACAACATTGCAGAAAAACGTTACACTCACCAGACTAAAGAAAATCGCTTAGTTATTCAGATCCAGAAGGCACTTTGGAGAAAATTGGAACCCTTATTCAGCCGCAATAAAAAAGCTTTGCGCTTCAAAAGGAGGTCCAAGAAAATGCGCTTGCATCAGAGGGCAAATCCTGCCGACCAGAAACAATAACTACAGTAAATCGATATGTATGTCATGACCTCTCAGCGTGAAACATG